AATAGATCGAGATTTTGGCACAAAGTTTAGGGAAATGGAACAAGAATCCTATAGGTATCTAAGAATTAGTGAAGGAGATAGAATGCAGCAAACCCAAATTAAGGAGAAGACAAGAAAAATGTCTTACAAGCGTGTGCGTCTGGAATTGAATTCCGAGCTGATTTAAAAAAAAAAATAACACCTTGGCTGTCCCCGTGGTGCAATACAGTTTCAACATCCTTAACTGGACCATAGCTGACATTAAGCGAATGGACGCCAAAACAAAAAAGCTTCTGACTTGCCACCGTATGCATCATCCTAAGGCTGATGTTGATCGTCTGTATGTACCCAGATCCGAAGGAGGCAGAAGATTAGTTCAACTGGAAAGCAAAGGTAAATGCAACCGACCAAATACAGAACCGATGACAAGATTAACCACTTTACAGTCATTTTTCTGCCCGTCGCAAATAAACTGATGTAGACAAACCCTGTACCCATCAGTGGCTACGAAGTGCAGGGTTAAAAGCTAAAAACCAAACGTTTTCGTCTTGTTGCACAGGATCAATGCTTGCTAACTAGAAATTAACAACCTCACGTACTGAAAGGTTGTTAGCCCAAAATTTAGATTCTGTGATAAATATCCAGAAACAATTAACCATCTTGTAACAATTGACCATCTTGTCACACGGTATTGATACCCACTGAATTTAAAATCCTGCCTGACAGAGTGGGCGAATATCTGCATTAGAATATCTGTAACTTTTACTGTAAGAAATTAGTATGAACACCACCCAGACCTGGTTACAGAGATAGGGCTTGTAACAATTTTATGGAACTTTGAGATACACAGAGACAGGAAAATCAAAGCTAATCACCCAGACATTGTGATCAGAGACCGCAAAAGCAAAATGTTCCTTCTTATTGACATAGCAATCCCTGCAGACTGTAATGTATCTTTAAAGATCTCCAAAAAACTATCAAAATACAACAATCTTGAAATGGAAATCTCCAAAATATAGCACATGAGGACATCAATAATTCCTATTGGAGTTGGAGACCCATCGGATTGATTGGGAAAGATTCCTATAGACTCACTGAAGGGATTCCTGGTAATCCATGCCTTAAAGTAATACAAAAAATTGTTCTCACAACTTACGAAGGACTTTATCTATGTAAAATATGTGTGATCTTAGGTGTTTTTTTGCTGAGAGGAAATTTTCATGATACCATTTCTGACCTTAGGTCTCTATTTGGGACCAGGAAAGAAATGAGTATACATCAGAAACCAAAGGAAATAAAATAATAATAACAATCACCACAACCCTGAATCAGTCACTGAGGCGAAAAAAAAGAAAATCTATTTGGATTTGGATATTCAACAGATCCTACTCTCCACGCCAGAAGACTAAACTACACTGTAATCACTGGAACACTTGGAGAAGGAATAGAGATGAAAGAAATGATTAAGATGATTCCTACCACAACTCTGTAAAAATGAGAAAAATTTCATTTGACATAGAGTCAAAAAAATTTCATTTGACATGGAGTCTCCTGACACAACAGACGAAATATGATCTGAGGCGTAAAAGTATTAGAATTTCACGCATCTTAATTTATCATAATAGAGAATAATGGCTATTGCAATATATATATATATATATATGTAGTTTTAAAAACTAGGAAACCATTGATTTTAATATTAAAAGTCTCTAGAGTCCTTTCAGCCAACATCTCATCAGGAGACAATCGTTGGAACAGCGAAATGAATAATAGCGATATTGAAGAGCAAAAAAGAGGGGGAAACACACTAAAATAACGAACAAGTATATATACTTGTAACGAGGGAAGGGTTATCGTGTAAATAAATAGCGAGGGACAGTTAAAATAAAATATCCCCATTTGTTTACGTTAGATATGTCGATGACACCTTTGCAACATTCTCTAATAAAAGTGAGGCTGTTGAGTTCTTTAATGAGCTCAACTCCTTACACAATGGTTTGTCTTTCACTATGGAAAGGGAGAAAGACAATTGTCTGCCTTTTTTGGATGTTCTTGTTGAACGCAGTAGAGGTGGTTTTATTACTAGCATTTATCGTAAACCCACCTTTACTGGACTTTATTTGAATTGGCGTTCATTTGCTCCTGCATCAAGGAAAATTAATCTCGTTAAAACCTTGGTGTATAGAGCGCTTAAAGTGTGTTCCCCTATTAGATTGGACCGTGAATTTGGGAACATTAGGAGATTTTCCTTAGTAACGGCTATCCGGAGGCCCTTATTGACTACATTATAAGTAAGAAAACTAAGAATTTCATTCTTCAAAATCCAGGGGCCTTCTAAATGTCCGGTTTATTTGAAGATTCCCTGGATTGGGGATAGTGGTCAGGGCTTAATTAAGCAGGTTAGCAAGTTGGTTTCCGGTTGTTTCCCATCAGTTGCTTTACGTAGCATTTTTCAAACTAGGTCTGCGTTTCCGTCTTTTCGCAAGGATGTATTGCCCACATCAAATTGAGTAATTTAGTATATGAATTTAATTGCCAGTGTGCTGCTGGTTATGTGGGGTACAACCTTGCATTTGGAAACTAGAATTAATCAGCACGTTCCTTCCAAAATACGACTTGGTAAGATAGATAGAATATGCTATCTTCCCCCCCATGAATATGGAATCGGCTATTGCTCAACATTTAGTTGAGAATATAGCTTGTGACAAGTTGTATAAAAAAGAGTGGTTTAGAATTATTCATACAGCCGATTCCAATAATCATTTGAAGATTTTGGAATCGGTCTGTATAGGATTTAGAAAACCTTCTCTCTGCCGGCAGAAAGAATTTATAAGGTCTCTAAATCTGTTGGGGGATATTTTATTTTAACTGTCCCTCGCTATTTATTTACACGATAACCCTTCCCTCGTTACAAGTATATATACTTGTTCGTTATTTTAATGTGTTTCCCCCTCTTTTTTGCTCTTCAATATCGCTATTATTCATTTCGCTGTTCCAACGATTGTCTCCTGATGAGATGTTGGCTGAAAGGGCTCTAGAGACTTTTAATATTAAAATCAATGGTTTCCTAGTTTTTAAAACTATTTATAAATTTTGTACCTCCAAACATTTGTGTGTGTGTGTGTGTGTGTGTGTGTGTGTGTGTGTGTGTGTGTGTGTGTGTGTGTGTGTGTGTGTGTGTGTGTGTGTCCAAAGTTAAAAACTTGAACACAATTTGGGAGAGGTGGGGGCTGCTTTTCGTTTCCCTCGCAGAAATTTTTGATTAGGAATCAAATAAATGAAAAAAAGTTTTCGGTGCCTTCCAATATTTATAACGTAAAAAAATTGGTTATGACACCATTTTGGTTACTTCAACTCATGAAAAATGAATCGATTTTGCTCGGTGAATCTCCTTGGTGACTGAATAGAATGCACATTTACCTGACGACTGGGTCCTTCTACTCGTCAACGTTTAAATGAAGAAAACTTTTGTTAAAACGCAGTGATTAGTTTCCGTTTGTAAATTTTTAACATGCATTCAATCAGTATTTACATTTTTTTATTATTTGGTGTTGAAGATTTTATTGTTTTTATTTCAATTATCTATTCGAATAAAACTCATCCAAGACACGAAGAAACAGAAAAAAATGATAGGCATTTCAGAAAATTATATAAATCTGACTTTCTCTTGTTCAGAGCTACGAGTGGAAAAGATTTCAGAATTGTTTTGTAAGTAATCACATTCAATTAAGGACAGCTGGAGATGCTTTCCACTCCTCCAATTTCTTCTTAAGAGCCAAGTTTTGTTTCAGGACGTATGCGAACATGACTTGTTACAAATTGCTTTAATGTCTTTAAAATATGATTTGTCAAGATTAATCTTGTGTAGTAGTTTCTCATTGTTTTTACATGGTTTTGAATTCAGAATATTCCTTCTTTTCTGGTTGCCATCCAAAATGAGAGTGACTACTTTGCTATTTTACCAATAATAAGCGGGAGAAGAGAGACATTAATTCCTTTCCCAGGTGTATTAGTTCGAAGTAAATGAGTTTGGTTCATACTTGAACGCAATCTTCAAGCTGCGTGTGTTATTCAGTGGCTCGACTATTTATATATACTGGTCAATGGTATATTATGGGTAAGGTATTTCCGGTTTATTTGATTATTCTAAAGATTATTGTGTTAACGGCAACGGTTATATTTCAATTTATTCTAAACAACATTGAAATAGAAATATTTGTATGTAAGAATGTTATTTGCAGCTATTTTATAGTGTTGTTTGTTAACTTTTAACTCATTATTATTGACTACTTAGAGTATTTTGTAATTATTTATTAATTGTTTATTTTCGATTATTATTAAATGTATTTATTTGTGCATTATGCGTGCATTCGTAGTTTGTTTCTTATTTATTTTATGCATGTGCTTCAGTACACAGCCTTTTTATAAAACTGGAAATTACATCAGACCGGCCTGTGTATTTGAGAGTCTTAATTATAACGTTCGAATGCACAAGCCGGTATGATGTAATTCATATTGTTTTAAAAAAAAAAGTACAGGGCATTTATCCATATGTATCCACCAAAATATTACGTTTAAAGTAATGGGAAATAATGAAATTTTAAAAATAAATCCAATTATTCCACACACACACACACACACACACACACACACACACACACACATATATATATATATATATATATATATATATATATATAGATAGATAGATAGATAGATAGATAATGGGAATATTTACAGATTCTAAAATTTTTTTCCTTAGTAAGATATTATGGTATGCCCTCTAAACTTATTATTATAAACAAAATATGGAAATAATGTCTGATTCTCGGTAACCAGGCCGTTTTCTGACCATCTGTCTAATGGCAGAGGTTGATTACTTCGCAGCACTCACTTTCTTCTAGACTGATTAGTTAAAGTTTTTTTTTTTTTTTTTTTGACAGTCATCTAACACGACGCTGTGGGCTCTATACTGTCTAGCTAAAAATCCGGATGTTCAGGAACGTGTTCGCCATGAGATTATGCAAAATCTCACTCTCGGAAATGAAATTACAGTTGAGGACCTCCGCCGACTCCCCATTGTCAAAGCATGCATTAAGGAAACTCTCAGGTACTTCAAATATATTAATGATGTTTTCTGCATGTGTTTGTTTCTGTATATTAGCCTAAACTATCTTTTATTTTTTGTGATATTTTCTTCAAAATGAGGTATTTGACATTTTTCACACGACACATGTTTATTTCTCTTGCTTGCCTTAGATTAGCACACGCCCATTGAAGTCGAACATATGGTGAGGATCGAAATCATTTCGATGTCAAATTGGTTTGTAAAAACGATCTTATCAAACCTCGATTCTCGTTGCCGCCCCCCCCCATCACTACATTTTATGATGTTGAGAAAATGAACTATTACTGGAGAGTTCGACCTGTTAATTGATTAATAAATCAATATTTTAATTAAAAATTAATCTTATATCAACTCGACTCTAATCGAAATAACTGACACTAAACAAGCGTTACTCACCAGAATAAAGAGATGGTGAATTGCCTTCCTGCTTCAGACTGAATTATTAATGCTGATCTTCAGACAATACTGCTTTCTCTCCTCGGAATATTGTCCCAACAATTCTTTCAAAACCTTATCTCTTCTATTTGCCCAAATGCTGTGATGAGTTAAAATTGGTTAAATATCAAGTTGGAGACAAAGAGAAATAGAAAAGTGACTTTAAAGTCCAGATGGTCATTACGACATCACATCAGGCGATTCATTTTAAAACCTCATCCCGTGTGCTTAGTTTAGATAACCCAACGTGTTTGGGTAATTTTTGGCTATTCAATGTATAGATGCAATGTAATGTGTTGTAGTTTGAAATATAATTTTGCTTCGTTTTAATGTAGATGGCCTCAAATATCTGAAGGTTCTTTTTACTGTGGGTATGTGTGAATATTATTATGCTATCAATTGATATCTGTGTAATATTATGTACATGGCTATGTACATAATATTAGACAGATAACCTTATGACCAACTTTATAAAAAATATCCAAATGTTAGACAATTTTTGTCTTTATTTTCACTAGAAATTAAAGCAAACATTCGAATATTAGAACGGCTCATGACCAGAAATAATAGACATTCATTGTCTGGTATATTTAATAATATATGTAGAAATAATGATCTGCTTCCCCAATACATTATATATACATACATATGTTTTATGACCCTTCGCGCAGAACTCTTCACTGCCAGTTCAAGAAAGACATTCGAATTACGAACACAGAAAAAGAGAAAGTCTCATATCGAGAATATTTAACATCGAAAAACATAAAGGAGAAAAAAAAATTAATTATTTTTAATAATATGTGGAAATCTCCATCCTTTACCTGGTGACAGTCATGAGACCAGAAACACGTGTAGCAAAATTATGGAAAATAAAGCATAATATTTTTTTAAAAAACTCCAAATTACAACCAAAAAGTTTCCAGTATCTCTTCTCTGTTAATATACACACTTTTCTCTCGAAACTACTATAACATCTTTTCCATATATATATATATATATATATATATATATATATATATATATATATATATATATATATATATATATCTGTAGTTTACTGCTACCAGCAAGCAGAAATATTTCTTCTCCCGATGATGGCCATTTTGGCCGAAATCTAGTCAAGGAATCTATATTAAATAATAAAAAACGAAAGAATATTAATCTACAACCCAATGTGTCTGAAGATTTTGATTTTTTAATATTTTTTTATTTTTCAATATATATATATATATATATATATATATATATATATATATACACACACAGAGAGAAAGAGGGAGAGTGTAACTTTTTTCGCATGTCATTAAAATTGAAATAAGCATAAGCGTAAGTAAAAGTTTCACGGTGCTAGAATCAATCTCTCTCTCTCTCTCTCTCTCTCTCTCTCTCTTCGGCCATCTTGTAATGAAATAAGACTCATATCAATGCATCTTCTGTGTCTAAGTTATAAATTTGTCGTGAAAGAATTCGGTACAAGCAGGTGTCATACAAAGAGACAAACTCATGTTTAGTTAGAGCGAGGAGAGTAGTCGATTTGTGATCATTCAAGAAATTTAAGATGGTCATTTCGGAGAATAGTTGAGCATATTGAATGAAACATGTCATTTGTCGTTTCGATGTTGGCAATAAGAGTCAAATAAACATTTCTAATACATAAATATTTCTGCAGATCCTTGCAAAGATCGACACATTGTAAGGGCAACATCAACAGCCTCCATGGCCTTCACAGTATAAATGAAAGCCAATTCAGCCCCAAGAGTGTCAACCGTTAGGAATCATTTACTTACTTCAGGAATTCATGCACGTAAGCCACTAGCCTATCTTACGCTAAAACACTGCCATACAGATGGTGTGGCGAGAGTTTCACATAAGAGATGGAATGGTGCCCTGAAGGACTCACTGACGAGAGCAAGTTAGGCCTTCATACAAGTTATGGCCACTTGCAAGACAAACATTCGTCACCATATTTTCAAGTGACTTGTTAAAATTTTTTCAATCTGTTTTGCTATCAACCCTACAACAAAATAAACCCATTCTACTCAATACGCTCTACAAAGCGTTCGAAAAATTCCTCGGAACACACCACCAGATTGGTCCTCCATTAAAAACATATGAGACTACGCCTGACTCATTTTTCAACCACACCTACAATTCTGTAATGTGTCAACAGATACAAAAGATGTGCAATAATGCATCGAAAGGATGTTATCTGTACGATCGTCTGCAGGCGAAAGTCCACGTCTGTTCTAATTTCCAAGGGTTTGAGTACTGATAATAAACTTCCCATTTTAAAAACTGAACTTGTATTCATCTGTATATATTAAAAACATTGACAGTCATAAAGAACGACTTACAAGAAATCTAGGTCAGTTTTATGACAAAGTATATGGATCAGTAGCAGTGCATAAAGATCAAATTAACTTGACGCAAGCCTTTCGTCTGCAGTATAGTCGGGAGTAGTGAAGCGGATTACCACTCACTTCAAAATTGAACGGATTGCCTTCTACTGTCGAGAGTCAGAAATCAAGAGATGATCATTTACTGTAACCCAGCTATGTAACTCATACTATTAATCTTCAGTAAATTCAAATGTATTTTCCGTCAGTATCTATCTGTTTGTCCGAAAAATAACCAGCACTTAATTACTCATTTACTCATCTGGTGTTGTTCATTGTGCGGCAAACATCACACGATCATGGTTTGTCACCCTTCTTAGAGTTTGGGTGTGACGCCTTTCATCATTTTCAAACCCCATTGAAAATGAAAAGATTTCAGATCGTGGGCGAGAATAAGGCGAACGCAACGAGGTAGTTTATGACAATACCGATAGTGGGCTTTGCAGACTGCTGTGAAAAACGGAAGTGTATAAGGTCCCAAGATAAACATTTTGAAGTGACAAAGGCACCTTTACACAAGATAAATACTTCCAATTTCATGTTCAGAACATTAAATAAGAAAAAAGCAAAAGGTGATTCACGAAGGCACAATACATTGACTTTTTGCTTTGGTTTTAGAGTCTCTTTCTCTTGTTCTCAACACTTTTTTCTTACTTTCTCTGGAAGCGTTTCGTTACTTACTATCAATGTGTTTCTTTACTTACTATCAAAGTTTATACAACGAAACAAGAAATATTTCATTATTCTTCTATAATTGTTTCCAATAAATGTATCCATATATAGAATTCTTTTTTTTCAGTTGAAAAGGCGATGTCTTAATTGTTGGGTGATATACTTTCTGGTTTACCAAGCAGAAGGAAATGCTTTCATTTTTTTGTGAAAAATGTTCAATCATTATTGTTGCATTTTCAGACTTTACCCGGTTGTTCACGTCACAAGTCGACTTTTAGCAAAGGACATACAAGTTTGTGGTTATCACCTGCCAAAAGGAGTGAGTCATTAAAATTCTTTTATTATATTTAGTATTGCTTTCATTATTCTTATTAAGCGTATTTGCACTAAATTCCTTCAAATCTAACTTGAAAATCAACATTATAAACTAAAATATCTCAGCCACATAAAAGTACTCACTGCCATTATTATTATTATTATTATTATTATTATTATTATTATTATTTCCTTTTATTTCTGTGGTATACCCTTTCCTTCCGGGTCTCAATCAGAGACATCAGTTCAAAAATGGCTTCAATACATTTTCCACCGATAATTTTTATATAAAAGAACTAAGTTCGCACATACTTTACATAGATTCGTAATATGTGAGCTGTACTTTTGAGTACAAATTTTTATATTCCGTTAAGGTATGGACTACCAGGAATTTCATCAATGATGCTATCAAAACTTTTTCCAATAAATCGTAAGGCTCCAATTACTCAAGTGCCACATTTTTAAGATTTCCACTTCTAAGATCTTCAACTATACATTCTGGGCGATTAGCTTTGTTCTGCCTGTGTGTATCGTTCATTCATTCATAATTATTATTATTGAGTGAGAAATCAGTACACCAAAAACGTGACGCTGGGATACAAATACAAGATGGCAGTTTTCTGAAGGTCTAAAATCTTGGTCTCAATTTCATTTTTCCCTAAGCCCACTTACAATTTTCTAGGTGGTGTTCCATGCGCATCCATTTTGACATGAATTACTTCAACACTCATGTTCTATAACTTCTTCAAGTCCCGATATTTTTCTTATATTTCTCAATCTTTTCAGTTTATTTAAAGTTCACTCTTGTATTGAACAGCAAATGATTATCTTATTTTGCCCGGTTTTCGTTTTCACCCTGATAATTTGTATTCTGGATCCATCAAGTCGTAAGATTTCAGACATAGAACCCCTTTTGCAAAAGATTTGCAGTGCCTAGCAACGCAGATTTCTGAAGCGATAGGATACTAGACTTTATTCCGATTTTCAAATGTAGGACTTTAAATTCAATTGTATAGGCTCCAAAGTCTCAATGATAAGTGGGGCATTATGATTATTATTAATAGTAGTAGTAGTACCAGTAGTAGTACCAGTAGTAGTAGTAGTAGAAATAGTAGTAGTAGTATTCCTTATTTTAGTTATTGTATTACTTTGTTGTCTCTGATCATTGACTTATCATCCGTTATAATTTTGTAGTTATCAATTTTTCTTTCTTTTTTACTGCAGTAGTAACTTTCATTGGTCACCATCAAATTTTGTCGATTATTTTTACCTTTTTCAACTAATTTCTTCAGTTATTTTTACTGTTGGCATTAGATATTTTAATTTGCAATGAGGTTTTGTGCATCAGCCTAAAATATTCAGTAATAAAATAAACTTGCTAAAGCAACCCTCACCCGAAGTCTTCTGTCGATGGTAAATTGTAAAGGATTCTATTACTCAGGGCACAGTGCCACAATGACAGACATCTTTTGCATTTACAGAATAATTAATCGTTGAATTTAAGAAAAGATGTTCTGTCCTGTGAATAAGTGGATATACATCAGGTGAACAGAAATTAAAGTTGGGTATTTAAATGCCGTGGGAGTGAATTGGTTCCTTTAAAGATTAACGAAAGATGATCTTTCAAAAATGACTTATGGTATATATTCTTCTTAAAACCGGTAACATCTATCTTATATTAAGAACTCTGTCCTTCTTGGCTGAAAATCTGTTTCTTTTCATCTTCATTAGACGCACGTCCAAGCCAATGTGTATGGGATGGGAAGGAATAGCGAATTATTCCCGTCACCTCTGGAATTTCGGCCGGAGCGATGGATTGGAAAACGGTCTGATAACAACTGCAGACTATTGTACAATTTATCATTTGGACATGGTGCACGCATGTGCATCGGTAAGTTTTTTCTTTCCAGTAATCTGTATATCTTAAACAGTTTTTTTTTTTTTTTTTATTAAAGAATATATTTCATATTGTAAATAATAGGGAGAAATCTACATATGTTTATAGAACCGCCATGAAATTTAATAGATCTGGTAGATTGCTTTCAGCCATAATTCAATGATTAGTTGTTGTTTCCGGGGTTTATCTTTCAATCTCTTGATTCATTTATGGAATAGGGATACGGAAATTAAATTAGTCGGTGATTTCGTTAGACTATATTTAATTCTCTACGTTTAGGCTATGATTTTACGCAAAAATTTCAGATGTTTTTACGTTCAAAACTCATATTTGTATGCAAAAACACGACCTATAAATATGAGTCTTAGCAAAGATACAATGTAATTTGTATTTTAAAAGATATATCCGAAACAAACTGATTACATTTAGAAGCAAAGGAGCAATTAGAAAATATAAGATTTCATCAAGTATTCCATAGATTATCTGTTGGTATCAAAGTTTATCAGTTCCTGAAATAAATGAAACAAAAATGATTTTTATATATTTTGAACTCACTGTTGAGTTGATTAGAGCACTTATTCTTCATTATTATTAAGAAAATAGAACATCAATCAGAAAAAAATGTTTCTTAATATTGCGAAAACTTCATGAAATCCAGGAATCTATGAAAAAAAATTCTATAACATATTTAGACGAGAAAAAAGTTTTAGTGTTTTGAGAATTATAAGTTAAAGCGAGAAGATAAACGACCTGTTGCTGGGGTTGTGTTCAGCAAAAATGTATCGCAACGTATTGTTTGTATATAATGACCCTTGGCTTCATAAAAGCTACATTTCTAAATGCCTAAATGATGTTCTGTTTGAGTTTGCAGAAGAAAGAAGCTTTCTTGGAGAGGCATCGTATTTTGTGAATAAAAATGAATGTTTGTTTTTTATTTTAGGTCGAAGAATTGCTGAACAACAAATTTCAATCGTTCTAACAAAGGTATGGTCCCTTTTTCTATCTATCTCGTTCTAGCCATGTCATATCAACATATCTATATCAGTTTGTTTAACAGTAATAACTCGACTCTCTCCCTATGTCTCTCTCTCTATATATATATTTATATATGTATGTATATATATACACAACACACACACAGACACACACACACACACACACACACACATATATATATATATATATATATATATATATATATATATATGGGGTGATCTGCACATTCTTTTACTTTTCTATGCAAAAGTGCACAATTCTAAATATTTTAAAAGAGCTTTTAAATATACAAACAAATACCATTCTTGTTTATATGCCTCTTTCCCGCATTTCAATGCAATTTTCAAAATGGCCGTTTGTACACCTCGGGAGCGTCCAAGGATATCAAACGCCCATTCTGAAACTGTTTGTTAATGTGTAAATAATCAATATATATATATATATATATATATATATATATATATATATATATATAAAAGAACAGTAAGATATATAATCCGGTGTTCTTATTGATATTTTTTTTATTTTTGCAAAACAGAACCAAATACCAATTCTTTATATATACACCCTAAATTAAATCATCCTCCATCTATAATTAACCATATACCTTTATCTATCGAAAAAAGAGTGAGTACAAATTCAGCAAATGAGAATATTTTCTATGAACATATTGATTTCTATAACAAAGCTCTAAAAGATAGTGGCTACAAAAACCCAAAACTAACTTATATAAAAAAGGAAAATGGAAAGTATAGAAAAAACAGAAGTAGAAAAATAATTTGGTATACACCCCCATACAACCAAATGGTAAAGAACAAATTAGGACAAAAATTCCTTGCATTAATAGTTAAGCACTTTTCTAGAGAAAGTAAACTAATTACTATTTTCAATAAAAATACACTAAAATTAAGTTACAGCTGTACTGAAAAATTAGAAAAAATTATTAAGAAACATAATGCTAATATCTTCAATAAACACTTAGAGCAAAACCAAAGAAATTTAGACAATGTAAAAATAAAAATAAAAAAAGATAATAAAAATTATGTAACTGTAGAAAGCATCATAACTGTCCTCTAAAAAATAAATGTCGCACGGATACTAATGCAATATCTCACCTATTGAGAATCCCGAAAATATAAAAATCTATATAGGTTGCGCAAGCCATGAGTTCAAAAAGAGGTTCAATCAACATCAAACTTCATTTAGGATAAATAAATATAGAGATCAGACATCCCTTTCAAAATATTTCTGACACTTAAAAGAATCCAATAAAATACCTAAAGTAAAATGGAAATTAATAAGAAAAGGTAGAATATGTAGGTCATTGAATGACCCATGTCCTTTGTGCATACATGAGAAACTATATATTACTAAGTTTATAAAAAATAAAAATTTACTCAATCAGAGAAATGAAATAGCTATTCTTTGCCGTCATTTTCAAAAAATTTCCTTAGATAATATTTAAAAATAAAATTTTAAAAATGTGAGCTGGTAATATACATACTTATATTTGATATGAAAAATAAATTTTAAATATTTTAAGTAATTTAAGTAATTCTATTACATTTACTTGTTTAAAAAGGAAATATAGTTTATTAGTAATTAAGAGTAAAAATATTTTAAAATTATAGTTAAATAAAACGTATTCTAACCCAAACACCCCTAGATAGAATCTTTAAGTATACAAGTACGAAAAAAATGCCGAAATTGATACAACAATAGTTAATAAAGCTGAACACGCTACCGCCCCTGTCTGAATGATTGGATTTCTCTATATATCCTTGGAAACAGGAAATTATGAATTTATATGTGCGTTAAAAACTCAGTAAATTTAAAAATAAGTTATTCCAAAATTGGTTTGAAGACGAAACGGAACTAATGCTTTTAATTTAATTATATAAGTAGATGTAAAGCTTTTTTGGTTCAGTTTTTGAAAAATGGTTATTACTGTGTAGCGAAAAAAACATATTTTAAATAAGTTAATTTATAATATTATATATATATATATATATATATATATATATATATATATATATGTGTGTGTGTGTGTGTGTGTGTGTGTGTGTGTGTGTGTACCTACATAGACACAGATACATATATATATATATATATATATATATATATATTGCATTGTTTGTCACGTGTATATTGATTATATATATTGATCTTGCCTCCACACACACACACATACATATATATATGTGTGTGTATGTGTGTGTGTGTGCGCGTGTGCCTGTTTGTGTGTACATGGAGTAATATAGATGGAGGCACGGTGGATTAGTGGATATTGGCTCGGATTAAGGAATCGGAGAGCCAAGTTCGAGCTTCTGTGGATTTCGTTACATTCACAAAAGATATTAATAAATCTATTGCCCCCACAACAAAACAGACTCGATTCTATAGCCTTGGTGTGTCAGGTAATTGAGAAAAAAACATTAAAAGGAACAAATATACACAACACAAGAAACATTTTGTACAAGTGTTTCAATGAGATAAAGAGAAAACCGAAAAAGTTTATTTAATAACATGACTTCTCATTCTCGACGATGACCTTTGATATTGTGGACTCGGTGCTTGGTCCTCTTCTCGCTGACGGCCTAAACAGAGTGGTCCAGGGGTCCAAATCTATAGAGTTAAAGTTCAATATGTTGGGGATGGAATAATCTTGACTATTTTCAACCTAGAATTTGACTACCAAGGTTAGAGCCTTAATACAGGCGTTGATATTGACCCTTCGTAATGCAATTACATAGCTTTCATTGTTCACGACTCCCAAGAATATCACATAAAAAACAACATTCATTTCATGGGCGTCTTTGTGTGTACCTCCGTGTTGTCTGCGTAGTCGTACTTCCATTTCACCTAGCCACGAAAAAGTTCTCTAACTACGTGTAGCGTTGCTTAGCGGCTAGTGTCACGAGATTGGCATTTCTTTTCATCCTGATACACACACACAGATATATATATATATATATATATATATATATATATATATATATATATATATATATATATTCCAGTCGAGTTAATATTCCCTTACGTGATAATGCTATCGGAAACGGTATGAATGCATCTCTTCTTCTTCCAGCTGTTGGTTAATAACAGGACTGACTTGGTCTTATATCCTTGGATGGTAACCGGTCTAGAAGAAAGACAACGCTGAATTCAAAACCAAAGGGCCTTGTGGCACGCTGTGCACCAGTTCTCTGTATTCGGCCCTTCCAAAAAATGTGGTCGGTTCTGTACATGCTTTCACCACAATAATCAAATCATATGTACGGTAGTCTGGCTGCTTGGCTATAAGACGGGAAAGTCCTCCATATATATATATATATATATTGAGATCGGGGTGAGAAGTTTGGCTTTACGACCATCAGACCCGTGTGAGAATATAACTATAATCGATTTAACATTTCTTATCGACCTGGGTGGGCGATAAAGCGGATGGTACTTCTAGAACATGCCCGAAAACCATACCAAGAGTTGACCCAAACCTTGTGAGGGAAACTGATTGCTAGCACCAAGACACAGATCATTATTGCTCACGCAAGATGAATCGCCCTTCTGCAGAAACTGTAACAAATGTACCCTCAGCATAGTTGCTGTATAAAGCACAGGTGTGATCTGTGGGCGTTGAACAAAGACAAATGTGCCTTTGTTGCAAACATTTGCAACAAGGACTGGCCTGTCATCATAGTTGTATTAAAACGAGTATATCAAGTATTTCAATGCCATAATCGGTCTTGTGAAAATTTATTTATGCAAACTGAGGATTGATCATTAAATATATATAACAATATAATGATTCTTCATTTCAGATATATAATAAGCATTATAGGCCATAAGATACATATAAATCCAAAAGAAAAACTAAATATTATAAAGTTACTGAGTGATTCGGACTTAACGTTGAAAATTTTGTAGACAAGGATTAGAGAAACAATCAAAACAGAAAATACCGACACGAGAAGAACGCGGAAAAAACTTGTCACCAAAAGAAAATCTGAAACTGTTAAAAAGTTTATGGACAGAAATAGTGTTGTTGTGTCTGTAAACAGAGAGATAGATGCCAAACATTAAGAATATTGGCTAAAGGCATAAAAGATCCTAAACTACAAAATTCAAGCAAAGGTATCACAAAGTAAATTGGACAAATACGTACATGAGATTTCTCAACAGTAATTTTACTGGTGAGTGTAGATCTACATTGGTATCCAGGCTCGAGATTAACATGCAAATAATCAATCGAAAGAAAATAGAAGGCATCCAGTGAAGAGTTGGTTAACATTTTGGTTTTGTATTGAAGAAAAATTATACCTCCCCCTTCAAAAATGACAACGATGGAAGGATAAATACAGAGAATTATTGTACATTTTTCGACAAGACGATTTTTGAGTTGTACAAGTCACAGCCATGTAGTTATAAATGAAATAGAATATACATGCACTACAATACTTCTTCATATTCTAAAAAACTGATGACCAAACGAAGTGAAAAGTCCCCCAGCCTCTCCTAACATTAATCTACTTGAAAAATTGATGTTCATCATTAAAAGAAATTTATGTGAAAATAGAAGCAATAAAACTGCCATAAGTAATGTTGCAAACTAATCATTAGAAAAGTCAATAAACTAATGCCTGATAAATATTATAGACTTTCAACGAACCAATATTAACATATAAAATAACGTATATTTTCGCGTATAAGGCAACTTTTACATTTGAAAATTTACCTCTGAAATATGGCGTCGTCTAATACAACAGATACAAAAAGCTAACCTGAAATCATGTAGTGTATCGTCACTGGTAAGAAGGCTTACGCCATGGAACGAGTCGTAAGAATGAAATCTTTATTGTTCTTTTCATAAAGACTCGTCTTAATACTTTATATTATTTTTTCCTTTAGATTTGATAACAAGGTAAGCAAAACAACATTTGTGTTAACATCAGCTTTATTTTATAATCGCAGGCATTACGATCAGCCTAATTTCTATTGGCGGCGTAGGTTAGCCTACGTTTTCGGTCGTCTTATATGACAGATATCAGATAAAATCACAAAACTTTACATTGATTTTGGCTCTCGTCTTATCTATAGGTCGCCTTATACGTGGAAATATACGGTAATTAAAAATTATTATTCAGATATATCGGCCAGTCATCTTTTGCATTTATTTATAAAAGAGTTTTCATAATAAAATCTGATACACCCGAAACAAATTAATATCAATATTTTAATAAGAATAGATAATATAATACATACGATATATTTTTCATATAAGAATAATTATATCCTGAAAATTTCACCTACATTGATTGGTTAATATGAAAACAGTGAATTGCATAATAGTATCTGAAATTTTGTATCAAGGTATATTTTTATGTCTCTCTTTCACTATCTCCTCTCTCTTTCTATCTATCTATCATATATATATATATATATATATATATATATATATATATATATATATATATGTGTGTGTGTGTGTGTGTCTATGAAATGACATTTTGAAAATAATTATATTTGCTGAATTTGAATGCACAAAATATGATTGATTTCTTTGAATTTCTTTTCAGATTCTCCAGCATTTTCGACTGGAATATTACCATGAAGATGTTCAACCGGAATTAAAACTGATCATGACGCCGGACCGTCCCGTTAGAATTCAGTTCATTCCTTGTCAAATGTCAAAAATGACATAAAAATGACATTATTCTCAAAGCAATAATGTCAAGGACATAAATTCTATTCCCTGTTTCAGAAGTGAACACATGCAGACTTTTACTAGATCTTGTTTCTTCTTCTTACCAGTGTGTGCGTCCTCAGTGTGTGTGGATTAATTTATATTGTCTGTTTCAGAGAATGTGTGTCCTCCTGAAATAATTTCGAAAAAAAGTAAATTCAACTTGTTTCTCTCTTTCTCTCTCTCTCTCTCTCTCTCTCTCTCTCTCTCTCTCTCTCTCACTTTTCTCTTTGTGATTTTATTGGTTCTGTTGAATCCTATACGTCATTTCTTCCAGCGGCTAATATATTTAGATAGTAATAACACTACGAATAATGCGATTGAATGTTCGCGCTAAGCCGAGAAGATTTGAAGAATTTCGAACATTTGAGGATAAATAGCAAACGCATTAAATTCAGTGAGACGAGATATCCACACAAAGAGTCAAAGAAATTCGTGGGTTGATTGATAAGTAATGTCTTCTACTGCGTAGCACCGCTAATAGTGATTTTTGAACCAGGTACTCAGTACTATATAAAGTCTTCTTCAAACAGGCTTAGTGTCACTTCACCATGTGGTGGAATTGATATTCGTTAGTCAAGATTCTACTGTATCCTAGTTACGCGTAAAAAAGCACTCTATGACAGTATTTGGGACCCTAACGGTTTATACACCAATCGAAATACAGACATATGACAACAATCAAAACTTTCAAGCACTCAAACAACACATCAGCAGCCATAAAGAAGACCGTTTTTGGCGATACGACAACACAAGGTCGCATTCCAACCCCAAATTGACACTGAAGACGAAAAGCCCGACATTGAAATTTAGGGAACACATGCCGTAATGTCTCGGTTTGGCACCATTAGACTTTTGGTGGTTTCCAAAAATTGAAAATGGCATTTAAATATCAACGTCTTTGATTTCATACAAAATTTGAACTTGCTGTGAACAAAATATATATATATTTTTTCATAGATGGAATGAAAAAGTGGATAGAACGCTCGAAGAAAACTTGTAGCACTAAATGGTGACTATGCTAAAAAATAGAGTGGACATTTTGAAGAGGAGTAAAATTAATTCTGTTTGGCCCTAGTTTTATTATTATTTTATCTTGTTTAAAATTCATTTTATAATGCTGTACACTTTATTTATCAATCAACCCTGACATATTCCTTTCATATCCGTTTGTTTAGATGAGACGATAGATAACAAAATATAGTGAAACACTTAATAAAGATCCTCTCATCTCATTAGTAGTATTGTATACAAAACCGGACTAAGTCATGAAGGATGACATTACACTGTATAAACAGTGTTATATTCATGACTAAATTAGAATAGGTGTACCAGATTCAGTCCTTTAATTCTTAATGTAGTGTATGAGAAATGCCATCGGTGACGTCACTCTCCGCTAAAGTTACTTATGGTGGTTTTACAGTGATGAAAATGTCACAATAACTCTTCTGAAATTAGGCAGTTCTTAATGACTTCCACTTCGTCATTTGCAAGTTGAAGTTGTACCAAGCTTGTAGTGCAACACGCTTTGATTGATAAGACTGGAATCCTTATATTAAAACTATTCACAAGAGTTTACGATGATTGCACAGTCACCTGAATGCAGAAAGATTTAAATACAATGATATTGTTTATAAATTAAAAGAGCATTTCTTACCAGCGATTTTAGTTGGTGTTCTACACCAGGTAAAGGCCATAATTTCGAATGATAAGTAGTCCCTAGCTATCTAAAAGATTGACTCTATGCTATATTAAGCAAAGCTTAAGACCATTCATATCGTTTGTGTTATTATAAAATATTTTACATGAAAAGAGTTTAACTACCAGAAAGAAACGTTATATGATAAGCGTAGTAAATGTTAGTAATATTTATATATACTATTTATTTCATGAGGACAGAATTTTGGGCTTTTTTTGCCTCATTATTCAATAAAGAAAGAGAAAGGAACGTCCAGCATTCGCATTATTCACAGATTTTTTTATTTTATTTTGGTTAATATGAGTAATTCACGTCTTACTGGATGTAAATTGCTCTCTTTGATTTGAACGATCGAAAATATAAACAAAAAAGAAAGAAAGGAAAACACTATACATAGCATAAATTTTGTCGACAGTAGTTTAATAAGTTTAATTCAATACAAACTCAAATGCATGGCTGGAGAATGAGGTATACTTCTAATGCTTACCAAACTGTTTCCTTTCTACACGAGTCTTGGTAATTTCATTTTTGTTAAATTCAAGATAAACTGAATTGACCATCATATTTGTTCCGACATTTCTAACATTCTACTCATCTTTGTTGCTTTTTTATCGTTTTGACTTTACGATTTCATTCAAACTTTGAAAAAAAAAATATCCTGATTATTTATTTTAGCTGCTCTTTATAAATGAACCACGGGCTTGAAAATAGCACAAATACATGTCAAACTCAGTTGACTAAAGATTATTGAATATTCACTTTCTATAACTGAATTTAATTATCCATAACAAAGAAATTATTTACACATTTAATATAAATAAAAACAGACAAGAATTTGGATCACGAAGAAATCTTGTCTTCATCTGAAGTATCCACTGCATAATATTCGACCTCCGTGATTAAAGAAAATATTTTTGTTTAATTTGTTTTTTTTTTGTCACTAATTTATTTTTATTAATGTGTCTATCTATATTTCTGAGTATTTCTCTCTCTGTTTATCTATCTATCTATCTATCTATCTATCTATCTATATATATATATATATATATATATATATATATATATATATATATATATATATAGCTTTGCAAAATATAAGTCTCAAGAAACGATACCGAAAAATTGACTAAATATCCAGGTTTTTGTTTTTGGTTTTGAAAGGCTTCTTGGAAAGCTAGATCGACCTTGCTCGAGAACCGATGAAGTTGTGGAACATGAAGCACAATTAACTAACAATACTGTTGTTCCATCTATTCGCGTTTTAAAGCCAACTCTCATCAATTAAACATGGAGTTCTTTTTACATAGATTTCTTCAAATTCTGCGTATGATGTAATTAAACGCTGAAATGTTAACAAAACAAAACAAACTTTCTTGTTTGATGATCAAATACAGATTAGTTTTAGTTTTGACATTCGTATAAAAACCGATTCCTTTACAATTTTATGTATTTTATGGAAGCTAAATTCTGATGAGACGAAAAATAATCTGAAACGGAACGAGAACAGATTCTGTTTAAGAAAGAATAGATAAATGAAATAAGGAAAAACACGCCTGATCAAATCAACAAAGAATAACATAGAAAGTTCTTTCAAACAAAATCCTTTAAAAAATCGAAGTGAAAGAAAAATATCGATAGTTACATAGGCAATTACAGACACCAGTCGATAATAGAAATAGATTCCAGCACACACACGTAAACACACGTAGACACACACACACATATCTATATCTATCTATCTATCTATCTATCTATCTATATATATATATATATATATATATATATATATATATATATATATATATATATTCAGTATTATCAATGACCTTTTTGAATTTATAAAAAGAACTCATTATACTTCCCCTCTGAATCTGTTCTTAAATGAGACGGCACTCAATCCAAAAATTGATATTTACATTGATATTTTGTTTCTAAAAGTGTTTAATGCAAAGCACTCAAATCTACACGTGACTGAATACTATTTTTGCAACATTTTCTCCTAGAATGAATTCTTTTACTTCTGTTCTGTTAAAATGGATGAAACTGGCCAAAAATAGAATAAAAATATTCAGAAATTTCTTTTTACAATGTGTGATGAATGGGTAGTCACGTGTTCTTAAAATTCCTGATTGATGAAACTCATCAAATCACAGTCAACAGTGATTCCTTTTCGTTACTTTTCTACTGAGAGGATCGAACCATTGTGTTTCACATTTTTATATGAACCTAAAGGTTTATATTTTTATTTTCCTTTATCCTTTTCGATGTTTCTAAATATCAATAATCCACCAGCATGCAAGGATCTACCCCGATGAAAATGAAATTAGACGACATATAATGGTTGGAAATTATTTAATAGAGACATCATGAAAATATGCTTAAACATTAACATGTATAATGAATGTAACATAGCAGTTATGAAATATGAGAATAAAACATGAAAATTAACAAGCTTACTTGGAAACAATCTTAGAAATGTATAGCTCCTCAAAGGATTACAGGAACAAAAATCTAGACGACCAAAGCCTGTGAGGTGATTTCGTCTTTAACTTAGCTTTTACATTTTTTACGCTTGAGATAATATTAAGTCAAATCATAAAAAAGTTTCTTTTTTTTTTTCAAACGAAATGAATAGATAAAAAGCTTTGCTTAATCTACCAAAAGACTCCTGAGAGAATGCTTCCCTGAAAACTATAATCTTAACTTTTTCATGTTTTATGCTAATTGTTATAATCTACAATTCTTACTTCCATAAAACAACCCTATTTAGTAACCATCTACCTTGAGTGGCTTTTGAGCCTTACATTGGGTGAACAATAGCATGAAAATCCCTTAAACATTTGTCGGTAGAGTCATCATAATTCTCTCACTCACTTTATACTCTGCTTTCTAGTAATCTTGTAAATTTTTAATAAAGAGTATAAGCACAAATTCAACCTCTTTAAACATTTCATACTCGGCAACGTTTGAGAGAATTTCATAGTAATAGTCACTAAAGTCTCCAATTTAGCCGACTTGTAGATATTTGTATTCAAGAAAAGAAATAGCAATAAAATAAACACTGGAACTTTCATGTGTACACAAGCGTAGTGTGTGCGTGACCGTGCGCCCGCGTGTGTGTGTTTTTTCACAGACACCAAAGAAAAGGACATGCGTTGTTGTTTAGTGTCTGTTAGTCTTAAATAAGATATTTTTTCAGATTATCGACTTTAAACAGAATCAAACTTCACCATTTTCACCAATTGTGGTCCTATTTACTCTTACTAATTATCCATTTGAATTGAACTTTGTTCAATAAACATCATAGATTTATTTTTATTTATAAAAAAAAACTACTCAAGGCGATTCACATCGACTGTTTTTATTAAAAAGTTCACTTTATTTATCAAAAATTCAATTATTCAGAATTTCTTCATTATTCTTCATTTCATTATAAAAATAATGTCTATGTTTTCCTATTCGAATCAGCATGCTCAACTTGATTGTTGAACACATCTAAAAAATTCCAACAAAAACTAAAAATAAAGGTATAAAATATTATTAAAGACGTTCACACAGTCATTCATTTCCTTCAAACGCACACTAAGTTTAAATGCAATTAATTATTATGTAAAATATCAAATGCAATATGCATTTAT